TGGGGAAAGCTGTTGCAAAACTTCTGTCTCTGTTCTTGCAACTGACTCTTCATGAGGGCAAAAAGGGACTATAGTTCAGTGTCTGTGGGTAATAACATCATTCACATTTCATTTTAATCTCTAAACTGACTTCAAAATGCAATCCAGCATGACATCATGTGTGCCCTGAACCTTTCCTAGAATTTATTTCTTACTGAATTTAAAATTACTTAAAATTCGACTCTAAAAACCACCACCTTCCCACCCCCCTATGTTCTGAGGGAACTAGATGTTCACCAGTGAGCTCCCTCTAACCCTGCCTAGGTCCAATCTCCACCCTTCTCACCACCATCACCTTCCCAAGTTCAAGACAATGGCTTTTCAACGGGCTTATGACATAACCTTATTCATTTTCCTGTGCCTTTATAACTTCCTTGGGTGGACTATGTCATACCAGGCTTCTCTTCTGCTTAGACAGTTGAAAGAACTCCTGACGGACTGAGAAAGTGGCCAGGTCCTGCTCAGTCAGCAGTGCCCAGGATCCTGTTTACCAGCTAACTTGCTTTTTCCTCTAGGCTCTGTGGCAAGGCCTCTGTCTTCCTGGGGCTCTCATCACCTGTCCTTCCCAGGCTCTGCTGGGCTCCCTTCCAGAACTAACCGTGGCTTCCTTCTCTGCATATCTCATTTCTATTTTACTCCTTTCTCTTTGTCTGTGTACTCAGCATGCATTCAGCTATTATGTTCTCCCATTGCTGCTTAAATGACCTGACTCTACTTTGCACACAGATCAGTGATGTCAGATGCATAATGCTGACCAGGCCCATGAAACACTGGGTCTGAATAACAGGACTGCCCCCTAAATGGTCACACACTGCCCAGCAAGCGACTCCTCACTCTGTGTCTGATTTCTCACCCAGGCCAGTTGGTTTTTGCAATGGATTATGTCAACATTTTGACTTATTTGCATACCCAATCCACTTCTCTCTGCCCCCCCACCCCCAGCCAATACTGTCCCTCTACTTTTGCAGCTCATTCGTATGGTCTTCTCACTGCTCTAATAGGTCATAAAATCCACAGTTCACTTTTCAGATAGATATATCTTCAGAGGTCATGTCTCATCTGTCAACTCTCCCTCAAATCCCTACGTTCTATGTTCTTACACCAGGTACCAAATTTTCAAGCATCAAATAACAGTATTCTCCCCATCTGCATCAGTCCACAATATCTCCCATTACTAATCCTCAAGCAACTCTTCTGGTCTATTCAAATACATTTTTTATCCTCCCAATAGGTTCATTTCTCTGCTTTTGCTTAGCTATGATGGGAAGGTCTAACCTCATCATCTACACCAAAATCTTTTCACTAAAACAAAGAACAAATCCAACTTTTTGAGTTAAACCTTTCTTCCTGGTACCAGTAAACCTGTTCCTCACTTACTACAGTTGAAGTGTTGCTCCATAAAACATTTTATTTTACTGGATTCATTTCTTCAATTCTTCTGTTGTTTCATATGTATTAAAGCACTCTTCCGAATTAAATCGCAAGCAAGGAATCTTGCTATCATTTGATAAACATCGAGCATTGATAGGAATAGAACAAGTAAATACTAGCAAAGCAACCTACCCAACCTTCAGATTTACAGTCCAAAAAATAGATTAACCCCTCAACCACAATTACCATTTAGACAAATTGTACCACCAAGCAGGCGATGCCATTTCTTAGCTCTCCTCTTCTCTGGGTGGACCTCTGATGCTGGGGTTGGACTAGCCACCTTAGTACATCTGGAAAACCCCTAATTCCTTTACCATTCTAAATGAGGATATTTATTACAGAAAGGGACTATTCTTTGCCTGTTCTTTATACATCTAACTATCCAATATTCATGGGAACTGTTGCTCCTATATTCGCAGTGAAGTTTCTTATCCCATAAGACCTGTCTTACAGTCTAAATGGCCATTTTCCCACCAGTCACCCTGATATGACTGAAAGAGAGCATCAAGTAACTCACCTCTTACCTTTACAGGAGCAGCATAAAAACACTTTTCTGTTTGTTGAAGAATTAAATGAGTAAGCAGACAATAAAGTAGATAATAAAATAGGTTGAAGAAACTGAGAATCAGCTTGGTGCTGTCATTATGAACAATATGTTATCATTGGAGAGCCCAGAAAGCTACTGAGAGTATATCGCCCCCTTGGCAAAGCCTGGCAAGCTACCCGTGATGTATTTGATATGCCAAACACAGTAACAACAAGTCTCACGATGAAGACGTTACTGGGCCCGCTCCAGCAAATCGATGAACAATGGGAGGACCGTAACCGTGATCTTATCATTGAGAATATATATCTGCCTTTCATTCCAGAAATACTTATTAAGCATCCACTGTGTGGCAGGCATTGTGGATATAGACCCAGACCCATCAGATCAAAATAATTTTTTAAATTTATAGAACTTGCTTCTTCTTCACTGAGACAGACAAGGCACCATGGTGCTTGCCCTGGGAACTGCAGGAAAGTTCTGAGTGGTTTCTTTTCTGCAGTGACACTGAGGGGGTGACAGTGTGCAGGATGAGTGTGTTCATTGAAATTTCAGGTTTCTGTTAAAGGCAGAGCCAACCGGATGGAGTGATAGGCTGGCAGCAGTGGATGAGAAGGGAACGTTATAGGGTGAATTTTCCTCTGTGCAACTGTGGAATAGAATTTGTTAAGGTACAGATCTGAACAGGGGATGAAGAGCTATGAAGATGTTCTCTAAAATTGGGTCTTCTGTCATCCTATTTTCTGTGACTGAACTTTCCTTGGGTATAATTTCAAAGAAGAGGAAAGGTTACTTTGACTCCTTGACAAACAGAACATTGAATAGAAAAATCTTGGGTGACTGAAGTCAGCTCCATAGAGCACTGCCTGTCCCAGCCAAAGCAATTAGTTCTCTCAAACCGCCTCAAGTTCTATTTTTAAAAGACCTATGCAAAGAAGCTAGTGCTAGAGGTTACAATTTCTATGATTGCTAAAAACCACTTCAAAGCTCATGTGATTATTATTGCCAGCAATATTAATGATTATATTTTGAATTTAATTGAGTCACAGTTTGGATATTAAAAGAATTTTGATGCAAGAGGTTACCATGTTTATCCCCATGCAGACATGCTATAGTCTAAGGTCGGAGGACAGAGTCCTGACTAGGAGTGAGAGACCAGGGAGGGGATTTGTGTGGCCCAGAATAACTTGGCCCACAAAAGACTAAAGCCTGAGATAGAATGGGATTTGGGCTGTAAGACAGTAACCTAAACCACCTAAATCTATAATTTAGGGTAAAACTGGTAATAACAGTTCATTTTTTCAATTGTTGAAGTATATGTCTGAAAGACTTACTGAATTTGAGGATATAAAAAGAGAGACTGTTTATAAACACACAGTGCAGCAACAAGCCTATGTCCTGACTAAGTCCTGCAGGACCATTCAGAGGTGATCACAATGACTTGGAACTCAGACTTCTGCATTTTTAATGGACAGAAACAAACCATTCCACATTTGGTTTGTGAGATTTTTTTCTCCTTCCAACACTCTGAGTAGTTTACACAATAAACAGCTATTTCCATAGTAGCAATGCACAAGATGTCTATGCCCCAAAGTTAACCTGTCATTACAGATAAAAATCAAGGCTACTGTTCTTCCAGATGTTCACAGCCACACAACTTTCAACCTAGCTGATAGAAACGTAAGGGTAAGGGTAAACATATTTCCTTGACCTCAGAACTAAGGCAAAAAATCAACCTCTGAAGGTATTCATTTCACTGGCAAGTCATTCAGCCCAAAGACACATTGCAAGGACTGCACATAATGACCTGATACCATAAAATCTTCTGTAAAGGAAATCGTGAGTGAGAGTCCCCATAAACTGACCATTTTCTCTTAGGAAGGACTTTGACATAAACTTCTGATTCATTCTAAAACCTTATGCACTCCATAACTTGTTGGTGACATCAGAGAATAAAATTAAAACATTAATTCACTGACCGCCAATTAGATATCAGGCCCATGAGAGAGAATTTTCATTTTAAGCAGTTACAGAAGAACTACCTTGTACACACATCTTGTACATTTGATCTAAAATTCAATCTAAATTGTGGTGAGTCATTTTCCTTCCCTTGCTTGAGAATTATCTTTAAATCTACCTCCTTCCATGAAGCAAGAGAGTTGGAGTATCCCTCTCTACTCTCCTACCTAGCACAGCAAGCGAAGCCCCTGGGATAGTTCTCATGCCCTGAAGGACTGACTGCAAAGAATCTACCTATATAAAGTTTCAAGCATATGCACGGCCCAAAAGAGACCATTCAGTGACCTTGAAAAGAGTCAACAATGTGATTAGACAATTAACACCATGATTAAAAGGGAAAAAAGTAAATGCCTAAATTTTCATTCTCTCATCATTTTCATTCATTCAAGCATTCATTTCAAATCTTCATGTTTGTGTTCTTCATTTTCTAAGATATATTTGTACTATATAAAAAATATCATGCATACAAAACAAGCCCAGCAGTAATCCTAATGAATAAACAAATATATGAGAACAAGAACAATCTGTTTATGTATAGGATTAAAACTTGAACATTTTTAATGGTTAAGTTAGATAAGAACTTCATGAAAAGAATGTCAAAGTTATAGTCAAGTCCTCTTTGGGAAATAAAGAATTAAAGATACAGAAAAATTTTAAAACTATTTACACCCATCCGCATTTTAAGTACTTTCTTGACATTTTGATCTATTAGTCAAGTGACTCAAATATACTGCTCTTGCATTTCATTTGCATTTGAAACAACGCATAACAATTCAGTATTCATTATATCTGTGGAACAATAACAAATTCATTCCCATTATTCCTTTACTCAAAACTTTAATTCCTCATTTCAAAATAAATTTTCTACCTTACATCAACCATTTTAACCAACTGATAAAAAGGCAAATAAAGGAATTTTAGCTCACAGACTGTACCAAAATAAAAAATAAAATAAGTTGTCTCCTACCTATGGTTGTGATAACAGTGCCAGCAAAGAAGAAGGAACTTCCCAAGTCCCAGTGACTGATTTGATTGGAGGTGTTTCCTAAAGGGATAATCCCTGCATTTATTGCTGCCACTATTTGCTGCAAGTTTAAAAAGAAATTTATCAGTTCACATGATTCACAAGGGTCATCAATCAGCACACATTCCACCCCAGATTTCTAATTAGACAAAGAAGCTCTGAAATTCCATTTAAAGTATACAACACAGATGAACACTTTATAATACACAATAATAACAGAGGGAAGTGGGTTTCCATGAAGCTTAATATATACTATAGTATCAATGTTCATTCATATCATCATTTTTAGTGACAACTGAATTAATGGCTAATGCAGTAATGTTCTTCAGTAAATAACACGGAGTTAAAATATCAGATTAAAACTACAATGTAAAGCATATGTGAGAGATTAATTTAAAAAATCAGTATCAATGAAAAATAAACTTGCACCCAAGTTCAGGTTGTATGTGTGGAGAATATATAACAGTAAAGTCCAATAAAACAGGCTAAGCAATTCACAATCAAACTCAAGTCTATTCATTCTTAGCTAAATTCATAGACTTCCTACAGATTTTTATAAGTTTTAGAATGATAGAAATAACCAAGGATCTGTAGGGGATGGTTAATGATGTGTATAGACACAAGGATATGGGATGCTGCCTTGATTAGTTCTGAGAGACAAACATAAAAGGTGCCCTGGTTCATCCTTCAAACACCACCAGATGTTGGGTAGAGTGGGTGGAGAGGGCCAGAAACACAAAACGAAGAACCTGTTAGGAGATTATATACAGTGAAAGAAAGATGCACAGATCATGCAAGATGTTTCTGCTGAGATCATTTTAGCAATCTTTATCACTTCATTTCTAGATTTTAAGATTAGAAGGAAATTTGACAGTCAAGAATATAAAAGATCAAGTCAGATAAAGTTACTTATAAGTAACTTACAAGTATATAGTGTATATATACACTTATAATGGCTCATGACAGAAGTTGTGTTGTGAAATAAGTACTGTTAGATGAGTTTTAAGCAGCAAAACAGGTGAAATGCAATATAAATTCCCTTTTGACTTTTCTCTTTAAGTTGTTAATTTATTTCATTTTTCATAACCTATGAACTCAGTCATGTGTAAAGTTAACAGAACTAAAATGATTTGTTTATCTTTGGACTGCAGTATATTTATTATGAAATAATTATAAAAATACAGAAAAGAATAAATATAGCAACTAAAATTGTTGATGACTTCAGATCCAATATAATCACACTTAGAGTATAATAGTATCTATTGCTGGCATTCTGGTATACTTACTACAAAGTTGGATTTATAAAATATATAAATGTGTTCTCTAGTGTTAATATAGTTCTATATACAATTTTCCTTGTTGTTGACATATTTACTTAATTGCTTTATATGTAGCAATTAGTTATTCAAGATGATTATTAGAATTTACAACGCTCCCCAAAGTTTACAAGTTCTGAGCAATTCTATTATTTCCAATATGAATAATATCTTGCCTTTACTGAACTATTTATTGTTTTATTAAGAATAAATTTAGGGGCTGGATCAATAACACAGCGAGTAGGGCATTTGCCTTGCATGTGGCTGACCCAGGTTCAACTCCCAGCATCTCATATGGTCCCCTGAGCACCGCCAGGAGTAATTCCTGCGTGCAAAAGCCAAGAGTAACCCCTGTGCATCACCGGGTGTGACCCAAAAAGCAATAAAAAGAAAAAAGAAAAGAAAAAGTATACATTTGTTCAAGATTAAATTTAATTATTAAGAATTGTTGGGGCTGGAGCGATAGCACAGCGGGTAGGGCATTTGCCTTGCACGCGGCCAACCCGGGTTCGATTCCCAGCATCCCAAATGGTCCCCCGAGCACCGCCAGGAGTAATTTATGAGTGCATGAGCCAGGAGTAACCCCTGTGTATCACCAGGTATGACCCCCCAAAATTGTTTATTACTTATGCATTCATTATTCTGTATGACCTTTGTACTCTTGAGAGTAATAAAATTATAACGGACATGAACCAAAAACATTAGAGATCATTAAGAAAAATTTAGTGGTTTGTAATTCCAGGAAAAACTAAACTTGAATTAAAACTCAAAGGTGGTAGGAATTGAAACCCAATCTTACAATTGAATCCAATGGGTATTTTTACATTTTACAGAAATTTCTTCAATACATTCATTTCTTTGAAAAACTACCACTTGTTGGGGCCGGAGCAATAGCACAGCAGGTAGGGCATTTGCCTTGCATGCGGCCAACCCAGGTTTGATTCCCAGCAACATATATGGTCCCCTGAGCACTGCCAGCAGTAATTCCTGAGTGCATGAGCCAGGAGTAACCCCTGTGCAAAGCCGGGTGTGACCCAAAAAGAAAAAAAAAAGAAAGAAAAACTATCACTTGTCTGTGGTGATAGCCAATAGAGAAACAAGAAAAAGAAAAAAATACAAGTTAAAGTTATGGATGATAAAATATAAATCACACCTTTAATTTTTGCCTCCTTAAAATTAATTTTTTATTTTAATTATTTTTAATATTTTGGAGCGATAGCACAGCGGGTAGGGCGTCTGCCTTGCACGCCTTGCACGCAGCCAACATGACCCACCCGAGTTCGATTCCTCCGCCCCTCTCAGAGAGCCCGGCAAGCTACCGAGATATTCGATATGCCAGACACAGTAACAACAAAGTCTCCAATGGAGACGTTATTGGGCCCGCTTGAGCAATTATTTTTGATAAAATTAATTATTTTATTAAATCTAGGAAAGAAATTTTCCAACCAGTGACAAAATAACCTTCATATCCAACACCCATGTTAGTCTATTTCTTTGTCAATAATGATTTTCAATGTTAACAAGACATATGAAAAAGGTACACAAATTATTTTAATACAAAAGAAGCCAAGTCATGCTTAAAATCAGAAAGAGTTCTGTCTGGCCATGTATGGGTTGTAAACAGTTAGCACAGAGCTGTGATGATCGCAACAGAAGTGTGTGATATAACTTGGTGTATGTAAAATCACCATGAGAATGAATCTAACTTGAGAAACTTTTTCTGTAATATTCTTTCAAATTATTTTTATTTTTTATACAAGACCTCTTACTCAATATCCACAGGAAAATAGATGATCTTGACAAGTGTACTGACACAGATGTAAAAGGTCCTGCAATTTCAACTCCAATAAATACAATTTCTACATATGGCATATTGTGTTAGTATAGTAGTAATTACTTCTTTAATTAAAATTTGTCATTAAAGACAACTTTTGTGGGCTATCAAGTCATGTGACAAATTGTCACTACATTAGACTATTCAGAGTATAGAGAATATGGGACCTTATGCAATTAATCCTAAAATATTATTGATTACAGAAGTATTGATTAAAGAAGAGCTTCCAAACCGAAAAATCTATACTAGAACTCATGTGAGATATCCTGACTTGGATTCACATTCACTTATAAAATACTTCTTTTATGCATTAAGGTAAGAGAGCTGAGCAACTGGATCTAGAGAAATCTGGGAATCAGTCTAAGAATATGCTAAGAAGTTACTACTCTTAGATAAGAAAAGTAATCACACATTAAAATAGTTAAGAAATTTTTAGTTGCCATGACAACAGTGGCTTTGGAACCAAAGTTCACAGAGTCCCACTGTGTGCCTGAGCATGTGGAGTCATAAGAAGTTGATGTCTCTGTGTCATCTGGCATTCTGGAACTCTTTTCAGCTTTCCTGACACACTCACTTGTCACTGTCTGAGACTAACACTGCCTTGGAATTAAAACCATTACTGACAGTCACGAAAATGTGATTATGAGTCCAAAGATCGGGATTAACATTTCTCTGGTTATAAAGGACTTTAGCAGCTATTTAGCCACCTGAGGGAAGGCCTAAAGAACGCTTTTTCAGAGTACTTTATACTGTGAATCTCTAAGCACAAGTGACACCAGAAGTTCTGATCTACTTTTCTCCCTTTACTCAGATGCTTCTGCTCATTGAAATAATACAAAATGTTCTGAATGCTCTCCTCCAAGTCCTCCTCTGTTAAGATCATAAATTAGGGTTTTATTAAAATATATTGCTGAATATATAATTATAAAAGCAGAGCTATGTCAATAATCTGTAACCTCTGAATGATGTCAAAAGTCTGAATGGAAGGGACATGCATGTGCACCTAATTAGGTCCCACCACTAATACAAATACAATTTTTTTACACTGGACTTTTACAATGGTGCTTTATTTTCTCTCCTTTGGAAAAAAAGACATTATTTACAATAAATTGGTATAGAAGCTAAATCCAGTTATAATTATACTATCACCTCTTTAATAACACCACTCCCCAGAGGGTATCACAAGTACTCTGTTGTCAAATTTCTATGCAGTACTATTTGACATCTTTATAGACCACTATTTCTCTAGGGTTGGGACAAGCTTTAAGCAGAGAGAATACTAGTCTTTAGGGAAGAAATTGAAAAACCCATCCCAACACTGCATTGCAACTGTGACAACAAAAGTCTTTTGAAAGACGTGAAAAATGCACAACAAGGAAAGCAAAATAGTAAATGATTCCTCCTTGACAAAGGACTTGGTAACAAGCTACTGAAGAAGGAATCACTGGGATATATTGTTCCACCATGGAAATCATCACTATCTGTCAACAGTATGCTAACCAAATAAGGCCCATTGGCAAAGACTGCAGGCTCCTTATGAATCTCATTCCCAAACGAGATACAATCCATCACTGTTGGCTGTAGGTCAACACCAGTCTCACTTGATGGTGGTGATGTGAACTGCTTGAAAAGGTCTGGGTCCTAAAACCCAGGTATCTCATGAGGGCCTTTCTTTCCTCTTGTGGGCTGGGAATTCACACACAGCCCTGAAGGAGCCCAGCACCTTTCGCTGGCATGTTGAATCACTGAGTAACAACTGATCATCCATTGCCTGGGTTTTTACTTTCACTTCATTGGCCGTGCCTGTCTAGAAAGACTTCATTGGCACAGGAAACTCCTGCTCTGCCCTCAGTCCTGAAAACCTAGGGATGCTTTATATTTCAAAGTAGGGTCAACGAGGAACTAGCAATA